GGAGATGGTTCTCCATCCCCATGAACCCCAAAGCCATGGGAGATGGTTCTCCATGGACCCCGAAACCATGGGAGATGGACCCCCAAGCCATGGGAGATGGTTCCCCATGGACCCTGAAGCCATAGGAGATGGTTCTCCATCCCCATGAACCCCAAAGCCATGGGAGATGGTTCTCCATGGACCCCGAAACCATGGGAGATGGTTCTGCATCCTCATTGACCCCAAAAGCCATGCGAGATCCACCTCCATGGACCCCGAAGCCATGGGAGATGGTTCTCCATGGAACCAAAGCCATGGAAGATGGTTGTCCATGGAACCCAAAGCCATGGGAGATGGTTCTCCACAGACTCCGAAGCCATGGGAGATGGTTCTCCATGGACCCCCAAGCCATGGGAGATGGTTCTCCATCCCCATTGACCCCAAAGCCATGGGAGATGGTTCTCCATGGACCCCCAAGCCATGGGAGATGGTTCTCCATGGCCCTCGAAGCCATGGGAGATGGTTCTCCAGCCCCATGGACCCCGAGGCCATGGAAGATCCCACCCGGACGTTTCCCCATCTCCATTATCCAAGCTCTCCAGATGTTTCTCCACCTCCAATATCCATCCATGTCTCCCAAATGTTTCTCCACCCTCAAAATCCCGGTCTCCCAGATGTTCCTCCCAGCCCCTCCAGATGTTTCTCCATTATCCATTCCTCCCTCCCAAGTGTTTCCCGCCACCGTCCACCCAACTCCTCCAGATGTTTCTCCATCCCCAATACCCGCCCATGTCTCCCACATGTTCCTCCATGCCATGATCCACCCAACCTCTCCAGATGTTTCTCCACTCTCAATATCCACCCATGTCACCCAGATGTTTCTTCACCTTCAATATCCACCCACATCTCCCAGACATTTCCCACCCCCATCCACCCAAGTTCTCCAGGTGTTTTCCCCCCCCAATATCCATCTTCTTCTCCCAAGTGTTTCCCACCACCATCCACCCAACTCTTCCGGGTGTTTCCCGCCTCCCCCGGGATCCTCCCCCTGTTCCCACCTCCCTCTTCCCACATCCCGTTGTCCCCATCCCGCCGTCTCCATCCCGTATCCCGTAGTCCCCATCCCGTTCTCCCTATCCCGTATCCTGTTGTCCCCATCCCGTTGCCCCATCCTGTATCCCGTTGTCCCCGTCCCACTGCCCCCATCCCGTTGTCCCCGTCCCGTATCTCATTGTCCCCATCCTGTTGCCCTCATCCCGTTGTCCTTGTCCTGTTGTCCACATCCTGTTGTCCCCATCCCGTATCCCGTTGTCCCCATCCTGTTGTCCCCATCCCGCATCCCGTATCCCGTAGTCCCCATCCCGTTGTTCCATCCCGTATCCCGTATCCCATTGTCCCCATCCCGTATCCCGTCGTTCCCATCCTGCATCCCGTATCCCGTTTTCCCCATCCCGTATCCCGCATCCCGTATCCCGCATCCCATTGTCCCCATCCCATTGTCCCACCCCGTATCCCATATCCCATTGTCCCCATCCCGTTGTCCCCATCCT